ATATTAAAACAAGCTGTACAATCAGGTCAGATAAAGTGGATAGAAAAGTAAGACAATACAATAACGCAGCGCTGGTCAAATCAGATACTTGCAACAACCTGGAACTATTACTCAGTAACAAACGAATGCTTGTTGAATCTAATTTGGATAAGTCCATTTTTCCAGTTAAAAGCTGAAATGCTTATCAATTTTCCATGTACGTCCATTTGGCCGGAAAAAGATGGTATCATGTTGACAAAAGATAGAGTGAAAAGTGAGGAATCAAACTGATTCGAAATTCTCTCTAGTACAATCGATCAAAATCTACTAGATTGCGACTAATAAAGCAACTGTTAAACGCATTTCGAACCGTTATTTAACAAAAGGCTACTTATCTAATACTGCTCATCTGAGTAGTCACTGTTCCATTTCACAAACCTGACCAAAGAGCATATAAATTTCCTCTTCTCTGTTCCATCAAGTATGCTTCGTCAGTTCAGATCATACATTTGTTTACCCGCCCAAACAATAGACAGAAAAAATGAATTTTCTAAAACCTACATAACCAATGACTGAACCCATGCCCCAAGTTAACATTCCACTAACTTTCACTCTCTGCGTATCAGAAAATGCATACACGATTTTTATTAGTCAGTTCACCCTGCGTGTTGATATGCATTTTAAACGCATCGTGTGCATCCCTTTTACATTGCATACTGGGTGGCACTACAAATGAGTGTATTAGTATTGACAACCCGAACTACCGAGTTGGTTTCCACCGGGGCACACTACTGTTCACAAATTTGGTAGACATGGCAAACGCTGTTTATTATCCTTGTGGCTTTGTTGTATGAGGATTTCATTCAGTTGCCGAACACTGTTACAATACACCTTATTCATCAGTTTAAATTGTCTTTTTATTCGCACTCCAGAATAGCAGGCAGGTTCTAGTATAATCACTAAAAATTACAAAGTCAACAACCTTAACTTACTCCAATCACCAATTCAGCTCATCCATTCTTGGTAACAGAAAATATTTAAACGATTCTGATTGGGTCATGGACTGGAAGGTTTTGGAAATAAATTTGGTACACCCATTTTATATTGCACATTGAGTTGCACTACTGGTCCAGTGAAATGACTGCAGCTGCAACA